GAAGGAAGGTCGAGCTCCGGATCAAATTGTTCATTATTCTGAGCTTTCGGGCTCTTTCGGGAGTCCATCGTCAGTAATAAAAGCGTCCACGAAAAGCAAGCGACAGTTATAGGGGGTATGAGCCGATCAAACATCACAGGAAAGGGGGGTAGAAGGGAGAAGGGAGGGATAGGGGAGGGAAAGTTCCACCTGTCTCCGTTGTCTTTGCCGGCAGTGCTATCTGCAAAATTACCACCCCCGACCGCACAGCAAAAATGTAAGAAACTACGTGATGTGCGTAAGAAGATGTTCATATATAAATGGCTGTGCACAAGATTTCGGTCTTAAGTTAATAATTTGTAGGTCAAAGAAGCATTTATTTTTTAGTCGAAGAATGACACCATTCCACAGTTCTGACTTCAACCACAATTCCCACACCCCTAACGCGATCGGTTACATGCCGATGACGACTGCGCGCGCGTAAACTTTCAAAGCATGGATATATAAATGACAGCAGAAGACAGAGTACCGTTGGCGGTGTACACAAAAAGACTTCCAGTTTGTTCTCGCCTAGATAACATGTTTAGGCGTGTTGCGCCATGTTGCGTCATTGTAAGTGCAGGCGAACTTATGCGCTGTGGCTTTGTCCTGTGCTGTCATTGGCTCCTACCTTCTGGTTCCAAACCTCACCTGGCTACTGATTGGCCTGTCACTGGCCAATCGGATTCAAGCGCTAGCTGGGTTGTAGTTGGCGTGAGCATTTGCAAGCGCCAAATTCACAAATGTCGTCGGCGCCCTTCCTGACGAGAGACAGCAAGGACGTGGAGCACTGCGATGACATCTTCGCCCAGCTGAATGAACTGCGCAAAAGTGGACAACTCTGTGACTGTGTTCTGGCTGTAGGTCTTGCTGTTTTCTGCTGAATAAGTTTCCTCTTGCACAGATTGGAAAATTTAACTTTCCCGCGCACAAAGCCGTCTTGGTAGAACGAATACCATTCTTTGCTGATGTCTTCTTCGGCGAAGCACCCAAAGAGGACCTGATGCGTGTATTACGAAACATCAAACCAAGGTATAGCGCTGATGAGGCTTTATGAGATTGAAGTATTCTAGAAGCGCTACTACTGTTTGCTTACGAGAGAAAAATCAAAATTACTGACGAAAATGTCGAGGAGCTGCTGTTGGCCGCGCGGACTCTCGGAATGGAAGAAGTAAAGATGGCCTGCATTCGGTACCTTTGTCAGCGGTAAGCTACACATACCCACTTGCTTGCTGCTATCTAGTGTCCATAGGAGTTGCTCGGATAGTTTTAGTGGTCTACAGGCCTGCTTGGTTAACCAGTAGGATATGTTCATATAGTTTTCATGGTCTATGGGCTTCCTTTGCTTAGTAAAAGGAGTTTCCCGAAGAACGACAGTTTTTTTTTCTCCTAAAAAATCCCAAGGGTTGTATTTCACTATCTGCTCTTTTTTTAAAGCACAGTAGTCGCCACAGACCATGCAATTTTCATAACTTTGTATAAGTTTGAT